GGGGTCCGGCGGATTGGAAACGCCGGACCTCCGACACCCGTGCACGGTCGGGGGTCCGGCGTTCCCGAACCGCCCTACCCCCTCCGCCCTTTCCGCACGGGGGTCCGGCGGATTGGAAACGCTGGACCTCCGACACCCGTACACGGTCGGGGGTCCGGTGTTCCCGAACTGCCCTACCGCCTCCACCCTTTCCATACGGGGGTCCGGCGGATTGGAAACGCCGGACCTCCGACACCCGTGCACAGTTGGGGGTCCGACGTTCCCGAACCGCCCTACCCCCTCCGCCCTTTCCGCACGGGGGTCCAGCGGATTGGAAACGCCGGACCTCCGACACCCGTGCATGGTCGGGGGTCCGGAGTTCCCGAACCGCCCTACCCCCTCCACCCTTTCCGTACAGGGGTCCGGCGGATTGGAAACGCCGGACCTCCGACGTCGGCACGGATGGCGGGGGCCGGACCTCCGACACCCGTTCTCGGTCGGGGGTCCGGCGTTCCAGAAACGCCGTACCTCCTCCACCCTTTTCGGATGGAGGTCCGGAGGATTGGAAACGCCGGACCTCCGACACCCGTGCTCGGTCGGGGGTCCGGCGTTCCCGAAACGCCCTACCTCCTCCACCCTTTTCGGATGGAGGTCCGACGGATTGGAAACGCCAGACCTCCGCCACCCGTGCTTGGTCGGGGGTCCGGCGTTCCCGAAACGCCCTAATTCCTCCACCCTTTTCGGATGGAAGTCCGGCGGATTGGAAACGCCGGACCTCCGACGTCGGCATGGATGATGGGGGCCCGGGGGTCGTGCGTTCCCGAAATGCCCTGCCCCCGCCATCCTTCCTGGGTGGGGAGGGGGGGGCATCGGAGTGGGAACCCTCGACCCCCTGCCTCAAAAGGATGGCGAGGGTCCGGTGGACTGGGAACGCCGGACCCCTCGACCATGCACGGTTGTCTGGTATGCAGCGTTCCCGACACCCTCGCTAACCCCCCTTGCCGAAAGGATGGCGGGCGTATGGCGGGTCACGTGCCTTCTTGAATGTCTCGGACCACGTGCAAGTGTTTCGGTGTGGTGCTCATTGCTGTCTCCTGTCCGTCTTTGTTTTGCATTTGCCACCGGCAGATAAATCTGGTGCGCCGACCTCTGCTTAAAATAAATGGTACGGCAGGCCTAAGACTTACAACGACGAACCGTGGGCTCTTGACTGGGTAGGCGGTTTGCATAAACCGGGGTGTGGGGCTGTTATCTTCTTTAGGGATGACAATGGCGCCACTTGGTACTGTTGTGGGGGTGTGGAGAAATCCGAGGCGGGCAGGAAGACCTACGAAGGGAGGACGTTCAGGACCTTCTTCCTCACGTCCGTCTTCGATAGCGCTGGGACAGACTGGGTCAAGGAAGACAAGAAGGTCTCCCTTGACCTGCGTCTCTTCCAAGGATACGACGTCAAGGCTTTCTCCATGAAAGCGTTTGACATGCGTGGGGACGGAACTGAATTCCGAATGCTTTCTCCGGAAGAGTTTCTCAGCAAAACAAACGCCAACCGCGTCACTGGCTGCCTTCCTATCGTCAACAGTTCTTTTTGGATGAGCAAACCTTTGGTCCAATTCAACAGTCCGATGGACCTGCTGCCAGGTGTGGTTAAGCGGTACAGGGAAGACTTCTCGAAGCTGCCGCCGGACCAGCAAGCGCACTGTGATTTTTTGCCCTTCGAGGCAGGTTCCAAGAGCAGGCGACAAACGCCGTCCGCGACGACAGGGAAGACAAAGCAGTTGCTGGGTGGGACGTCGGGCGCGAATCTTCCCTCGCCCTCCGTGAGGGGAGGTCGTGATTTGGCTCAAGGTTCAAGCGAGGCAACGGAGTTTGATGACAGGCTTCTGCACCAACGCAATGTTGGCCGTGAAAATTCCCAGGGCAGTGCGGTTGCCCGGGACGAGGACAACGACGAGGACGAGGAAGGAAGAAGTGTCGGCCCGCATGACGACGGCGTTAATGAAGCAGATGTGGAAGTTGGGGATGACAACATGGAGGACCGGGGCGCGCTTGCTGACGAGGACGCCGGCACGCCAATGCATGGTCATGACATCTCCCCCGCCGGCGCTGTGGGAGCCGCTATTGGTCAGCCCTCGACATCCCGTGGAATTTCGCTATCGCAAAGCAGGAGTAAGGGTGGGCACGACTCACATGCAATGCAAGGACCGAAGGCGAGGAAAAGGATAAGGGAGACTTCTCCGTCTGCTTCTACTCACAAGAGGCAAGCGAGGACTGATGCTGTTAATGAGGCTCGTGGAGCTTTGACAGCGTCCCAGGAGGCGCGGCCTCCTCGAAAAAACAGCCAAGGGGGGCGATCTGGGGGTCAAGGCGGTGGCCGTGGGGGCGGTGACCGTGGAGGGGCGCGGAAATGCTCCCAGAGGGTGAGACCACAAGAGCTGCAGGACTCGGGGGATGAGGGCGAGGGAGTGGATCCTCCCATGCCCGAAGATGCTGATGAGCCGGTTCAGCGCGTCTCGCCCATCGACACTACGCGTTGTTTCTTCCTCGAATATGACGACCAAGGCTTTGCTACGCAAGACGTCCATGCTCTTCACGTGGACGTCATGAGAATGAAATGCATTTCCCGCGGAAGGATTCTTTTCAACCACCACTCGTTGTCTGAAAACATTGTGCGAGGCATCGAGAATGCCATCGAAAGCTCCATCAGCACGGACCCGGGGGCGTGGGATAGGCCCGAGCTCGTGCTTGCGCCAGTGGACCGCAATGACATTGTCGGCGGTCAGGGAAGACAGATCACGCCGACCGAATTCTTGGAAAGGGACCCGACAGAGTTCGACTGGTACGCTATCTGTGGTCAGCATACCGTTGAGGCCATGAAGATATTGGTCAGAAAGGGCTCCCCGGCAGTTAAAGTTTATGGCCTCAACGCGTACTCTAAGGTGCGGGTCGTCTATTTCGGAGATGATCAAACACGAGGGTATTTCAATGTCTCCTGCTTCGACAACACACGCGAAAATCGCTCCATGATGTTGTCATTCGAGGACGTTGTCCGTGACATCAGGCAATGGTGGATAGACAACAATAGAATCTAGGCCCCGAAAGCCAAGGTTAGCGAGAAGGATGAGGTGGCCGTTGCACATCAAAAGACGTGGTAGAACTTCTTGAGGGCCTGCATGGGGAAGGCATGCGACAAGGCGTTTATAAAGCAAGCTCTCGAGAATGAGTACAGTAAGGATTGGAGTAATAAACTCCGGGGCTACATGAACCTCGCCACATCCAGTGTCGCAGTGTGGCCGCTAGTGGAGAGGTTCTTCGACGTGTTCAACGAAGGAAATCTGCCAGTTGGCGATGGCAAAATCCCACTTGACATGCCCGGGAGGATGGAAGGCCGCCTGCCAGGCCCGTACACCGACGAGACCAAGGGACAAAAAACATTGTACCATTGCATATACGCAATAGATGGTCCCAAAGGCTCCACCGTGTCGTGGAAGGATCTATGTCCTTCCTACTTCAAAAATTTTGGGGATTTAACATGTTGTGAGAGGGAAGTTGCGTTGCTCTTGCTCATGAAAGGGAAGGTGGTCGCAACGAACGTCTAGGTCTTGCCTCCAAAAGTGAACACAGAGTGCCTCCTCGACATCATGCGAAAGGAGCGGTACATGGTGTGTATGTTCAATTATGTTCTGTTCCGCGCCGAGGGAAGGGCGGACGACGAATGGAACGACGCGTTCTTCATGTCGTACAAGGACCTTGAAGACTGGTATGGGCCAAACGGTCTGTGCGCTGCGGAATGGGAGAAGGAACGGGACAAGTTACATGTCAATAAGGTGAAGATGGTCCCTCGACGACTTGGAGGAGTGGAGGAGGCAAGGCAAGGTGCAGGCTTGGGGCCTACGGCGGCAATGTATAAGGAGGCTCCGTTTCACCTTAAGGTCTTCATATACACTGCAATCGATAAGCTCGATTTGCTTCGCGCCGAGGTGAAACGGATCGCCTCCTACGCCGTCATATTGTGTGGGACATGATTGGCAAACAAGCGACGTTGCTACTTGTGTGCATGCCATCGAAGGAAGTGTTGGCAGCACCAGATGACATCGTCGCTGCAGCGCAAAAAATGACATGCAGGGCCGCCATCATGGACATCCCATCCTCGAACATCAGCACGGCGTGGACCTCTCACGAATTTGATGCCTTGCACACATTGATGACCAAGTGTTGTGGCCAGAATTGGGTCCTTTTCTTCTTTGCGCCGCAGAAGGTGCAAAGCGATGTTCTGCGTCACTTGTTCCGCTGGGAGGACGTCAAAGTCATCCCCGGGACCTGGAAACGGGTGGACAGGCCACCGAACTACATCACACGATACGACAATATGACTACGACGAGTCGAGATATGATGGCCATTGTCCTGCACGCCGACGGAGGGGATCTGAAAAAAGTAACTGACAAACCCCGACTCCACAACGACCTCACAACCGTGCACGTTGTGGAGGAGAAGTTTGGGAAGTGTCAAGGAAAACACGGTGGGATAGAGGGCGATGATAGTGCGATGTATTCCATCTCGGAGCGAGAGCCTGGAAAGTTACGTTCGTTGTGCGGGTCATTTCTCGGAGAGGCGGAAGGTGTGCTTTTGTTGGGTAGAGCGCACGCAGGTCTTGTGTGGGAGTTATTACTGGCAGGTAATAATGTCATTGCTTGCGACGAGTCGGCCAAGGACATTGCATATCTGACAAAGTTCGTCGATATACTTGTGAAGGATGAGAGATTCGCCTGTCATGTCGAGAAGCCACGTTCCAAACATCGTAGCAACAGGGACATGTTCCACAAGTTGGGACGCAAGAGACTGAAGGTGTGGAAATAGCTATTCCGCGATGCGCCGCAAGGACGGCTCGACGGGAATTACATCTACAGGAAAGCAAAGGTGACAGAGACCCTGAAACATTATCACGGTGCTCTTACTGGCGCCTTTGAGACTTTTGTCGCTCGATGCGAGATCCTGAAGTTCGATCTTCATAAAGACCAGCTGATGTCCAAGGACTACGCTGACCTCGCGAAATCGGGTGACGGCTTTAACCTCGTCGACAGCGAGGAAGACTCTTCGGGGTCCGACCTCGAATTGGGCGATGGCAAGGGTGGTGAAGGTCCGGGCGGTGGCATGGTGCGGTCACACGATAAAGGGACCGTTCGCTCGCATGAAAGACCCGTACAGGTGGCCGCCCACAGTGTTGGCTTGATGGTGGCCCCCATGGAGGGCACCGGTTTGCCAAACATGGGAATATGTGGTCCCAATGATGAAGATGACATTGATATGCCATGCGAGGCGTCGAAGCTCGCACCAGGTGATCCAATTCCTCCTGGCTATTGTGCTGATCCGACCACAATTTACTTCTTGGGGGGCAAGCACGCCCGCACTGGTGAGGACAAGTGAGGCCATGACATCATGTGGCATGAGGGCATTTTTTAGCCCTGCATCAAAAATGGGGAGAGGAAGATGGCGGTCAAATACACACGCGGATGGCAGATGTTTCGCCGGATGTCAAAGGACACTTGGCTGAAAACGACGGAACTCGCGATTATGTACCGCGTGCAAAAGGAGAATCCGGGGCAAAGCAAAGGCGCTGTCAAAGACAAGGCCAAAGAATTGTTTTCTGTATTGCGAGACAATCAGCAGTTGGAGTACAATTGGAAATTTTACGCCCTGCGAACCAGTCCCTCATGTGGGTCAATCGACTGGAAGGTCAATCAAACTATCGGAACCATGGAGGAGAGCAACTCTCAGGATGTCATGCCTTTGTCCGCATCGCCCCCTATACCCACGCAGGCAGGGCAGAGGGAGGATGACGGGAGTAATGTGGTGAAGACTCAAGAGGTTCACATGACGTCTATGCCGCAAATCTCCGTCGACACGACAGAACCGTCCAAACGCATGGATGTGTCAAATGCATTGTCGTCAGATGCAGGTGCCATATACGGGAGTTTATTACTGACATGCGCCGAATTAGAAGGCACATCCGAAATGCAGTCAGAGTCAGGTGTTGGCCTGAGCGTGCTGGACAGTCAGTTGCAACCGGAGTTATGCACAGGCAAAGGTGATGCACAAG